CAGTAGTGCTCATTGAAGACTTGGCATTTGTGCCAGGTCTAAGTACAATTTATACTGAGTTAATCTTCATAACAGTTCTGTGATTTGGGCATCATTGTTATCCCAAGCTTGTAGATGAAACACTAAGGCTTAGACCCATCAACGGCTTGAGTGGATATGGCCCGGCAGCCCTGGTCTTCCAGTTTCTGGAGCAGTTTCTTCTCCATAGACAAGGGCTTTTGCTAATTAGAATGAGAAGAGAGCTGAGGGAAACAGATCCCTGTCTGAGCTTAGAGAATGGATCATGAGGGTTCAAAGCAGGGACTCAGAACCCACACATCCACTGGGCACTTGATGGTTACTTTCGGCACATGAAATGAGGTCCACACCCTAGGCTCCGCCCCAGCTCTCCCACCTACTAGATGTGTTAATGGTATATCATTTACTTTCTCTGTGCCTTTCATACAAAAATTACCTCATAAGCAATTGTAGAAATAAAATGTGGTGATCCATGTAAAAGGCTCATAGAGCCTCCTGTGCATAATTAGCTTTCTGTATGCTTTAAAGTGTGTGGGGGCAGGGATGGAGGCCTAATGACACTTAAGAGGTACACCTGATTATAGAGGCCAAGGAGGAGGTGCTGTCACGGTAAGTCCAAGCCAAGGGTTAAGATGACTAGAAAGATTACTCACAATAGCATAAACAATGTGAAAAACAAGGCGGTTGGCATTAATTCATTGCAGCATTATCTGCAGTAACAAAAGATGGTAAAAACCCCAAGCCTCCCATCAATAGGAGGCTGATCACATTCATCTACCAGACCCTGAGGGCAGCCAGAGAATGAGGGGATGCATTGAACTAGCATAAAGCTGCCTTTGGTGTGTGCTTCTAAATGGAAAGCTATAAAGTACATGCAAACATTTTCTGAAGGAGCACAGAGGTGGTAAAGACACACACACACACACACACACACGCACACGCACACACACAGATGCACATGCCCTTGCATATGTATGGACTACCTTTAGAAGAAGTAACAACAATCTCCATGTCTCTGAGAGATGCATAAGATCAGGTAAGAGGGCCATTATGATAGATCTTTTGGTACTATTTGAATTTGAATCTTATAAATCTAAATATATACCACATATTAAATGTGTGACACATATAAAAGGCTCAGAGAGTCTCCTGCCCATCATATGCCTTCTGTAAGTTTAAAAGTGTATGGGATCATTAGTGACACATAAGAGGTACACCTGATTATAGAGGCCAAGGAGGAGGTGCTGTCACAGTAAGTCAAGCTAAGGCTTACGTTGACTAGAAAGATTGCTCACAGTAGCATAAGCAATGAGAAAAATAAAATTGTTGGCGTTAATCCATTGCAGCATTATCTACAAAGTTTCAAAGTTAGCCTCCAACTGGGAAATGTGAAGAACTAGGTGCCCGAGAGATGCCTGAAGTGTGTGGCCATAGGATGCTTAAGATTAGGCTGCCCAGACAAATGACTACCAAGATATTTTTATTTTCTTTAATTTTGAGAAAAAGAAATAGATATCAAGTCATATTTAAAAAAAAATCTCGGATAATGAAATTCAATTACCATCTTACCAGGTTCAGGTGAACATTTCCCAGAGATTTTAGTTCCCTGCTGTCTAGAACTAAAGAAGACTATAATGTTCTCTTTGGAAACAGCATTCTTACGGCAGAAGATCTGTAAACCTGGGCTTAGATGATGTCATGAGGCTGATGACAGAAGAATCAGGTACAAGAGCTTGATAACCTGTGGCACAGAAGTAGCATTGGCTCCAGTCTAAGAAACTCTCTAGCCCGCAGAAGACTTGGATATGAGCAATTTGACAGAGGGGGAGTCAGGAGAAAAGTGTGCCAGTATGTCTGTGTATCTTAAGGTCAACCTTCCAGAGTTGAGGACTAAGAACTGACTTGAAGAACTGTCACAATGTCTCTTTGATCATGGGTAAAGGTTTTCATATGTAAATTGAGCTGTTCAGCAAACAAGTTTGCCAAATATACTAGTTGACTCCTAAGGTAGGATACATAAGACATTGTTGTTGAAGAAATAATTATGTGAGAAAGATATAATAGATAGAAACAGAGAACTTAAGGATACCCGAGAGTTACTTGCAACCAGACTGAGGCTGGTTTAGTAGAGAAATCAAGAAGCATCAGGCACCAGGTTTAGGTCCTGGTCTCATTTCTGTATCTTTCCTGTCTACAGCTTCAGCAACTGCCCTTTGTCCCTGAGCCACTGTCCAGAGTTTGTTGGACTTGGCAGACAAAGTGTATTCAGTATCACTGTGAGCTTTATGTCTTACAACTGCCTCTGGCCAGGGAATCACTGACTCTCATGTGGGCCTTGCTCTTTCACATGGATAGTGTGCAGAACTGCTCAGATGAAGGCAGAAAGCTCATTTTCCTGAAAGATGGGCAAAGTAACCATCTGTTTGACAGTGCCTCTGTTGTGTCACTGGAGCAAGTATCCTGCTGACCTGACAGGGTGAGTGGGCGGGTGGGCCTTCAGTTCACCTGTCACAGAGTACTGAGGGTACTCACTCTCATTTCCTGCCTTGTTTCTCTAGACACAGCTGCCTCACAGCTCATGAGTAAAAGCCCTATGGCTGTTACTGCCTATGTATGGTACAGCACAGGAGTGCAGACTAGAGGGCTGTATGTAGGCCACCTCACCTAGAACACTAATAGCTCCCATTCAAATAGAGCTCTACTTTGAGTGCATGTGTATTGGCTTATTGGGTGAGAACCTCGACCCCGGTGACATATATGTGCCATTCCCATATTCCTGGTGAGACTCCTTCACTTAGGTAGAAAAGAGATGTTCTGGCTCTATTTGAAAACAATATAATCAGTTAGACAAGTCAGTTTTAAGCTTCTTTCTGTGTGCTACGTATTGCAGCAAGAATTAAATGCTAAGATAGATAAGGTCTCCAATGAGGTCCTCATTGAACTTTCTCTGGAGCTTGGGAGCAAGAAGCAGACCAGGTAAATGCTGTGATGCAAATGTTTCATTATCCTGAGAGCAGCCAAGTTGGGACTTCGTTTGAGCATGGGAAGCAATCAGCTAAGGAAATGGGAATAACAAATTGCTAAGGTAGGGGCTTTCATGCAGGCAGAAGTAGAAGAGGAGGAGTCACAATGTGAGCCTGTGTTTGTATAACTAAAGTCTATATAGTACAGCCAAACTGGGCAGACCAGGCTGGGGAGGGCAGGACTGGAGAGATCAGGGTTGGATCACAGAAGGGTTTTGTACTGAAATTCACCCAGGAAGCATGTCTATGGAAGGCTGTCAGGGAGGGCAGGCAAGGAGAGAGTCAGAGTGATTGACAGAAGCTCACTGGAGTTGTATGGGCCCTGACGGGGAGCTTGTATTGAATCTGTGTTTGGTCTTTGGACCAGAGAGGTCGAAATGAGAGTCACACAGTCTTCACGTGTTTGTGAAGGTCCCTCTAGCAAGTGTGTGGCAATGATCAATCCTGGGACCAGCAAAGCTGCTTGGGAGGCTTGTGATCTGATCCCAGTTAGCCATGCGGAGGCTCATCCTTGGAGGCAGCAGAGTGTAGAAGGAAGGCCACACCTACCACTTAATACCTGCCCCCAATTACTTTTGCTTTTACAAAAATTGTCAAACTTGAGGTATTAATTTAAAAATCTTTATCTTTGTTTCCTATCCTGTTCCATACTCATCCTACTTATGGGGCATATATATCCTTTTTGGGAGAAGTCGGCTTTGTCATCTACAGCTTATGCTCCACCGTACTATCACCTGTTAGGGCAGCCAGCCTTGCCTACAGGTACTGGGATAGCTGATTGTCTGCCTCCTCTGCTAGATGTCAGGCCCACCGCGGGCTTGATGTTGTTCAGTGTCTGGTGCAGTGCACGGTGTGCAATGGGCGCTCTATCATTTACTGAATGGTTGGTATATGAGTAAGTACACTATCTTGATGGATAGGCTCTCTGTGATTTAGCAGAAAGACATAGAATTTCAAATTTTGTTTCAAAAGATAATAGCTTTCTCATATGTGTTATACATAGAAGCATTTTATAAACTAAAGAGAAAGATAGCCATCTTTTAAACATTTATAAATGCTAGGATTAGTTCTCTTGCTGTGTGTATGTTGAAAATAAACATCAAATTGCTTAACTCAGAGTTGGAGGGTCCATCATGTTAGCCATCTTCATTTCCAGCACTATGTCCTTGGAAAGCACTGGACATCACCAGGGAGGCCTATCTCCTGTCCATGCACTAGCACACTGAGGCATGAGCTCCTGAAGTGCTCATTCCTGAAGTGCTATCATTACTGCCTTCCTCTGGTTAATCCTGGAATCCTATAAACCTCTATAAAATCTTCCTGATATTTCCTCCTGATTGTCGTAGATACCTTTATAAGTTCTTATCTACTCTGCCACAATCCCAAACTCCCTTCCTCTTCGTGAGGAAAGATTCCTGGTGGAGAGCATCTTCCTATCATGGTCTGGAGCTATCTCTGGTTCTCTTAAATGTCCTCCTTTGCAATTAAACAGGACACCTCAATCCATGGTTCTCTACCGTCCTTTCATTGATTGTCTCGTCTGTCCAGTCTCATTTCTCTTTCAAGGTATCTCATAGGGCAGGGACATGTGGCCAGCCACCTCATCACAGATTGCTGTATGCTTGATAGTAGAAGCCTAGGAGCCAACTCTTCCCATGAGTTGTGCAGTGATTTTTACTTCATTGAGCTTGGCGCATTTAACTGTACAGATCCATGCAAGACCCTTGACTTTGCTTCAAGGACATTAAGAAATGAGAGCCAGTGTCTCATGGGTGGTACTCCATTCCCTAATATTTGGGGGGTGGGGTATCAGGGCTCTTATCTAAGTTAACCTATTGTGTTGACTGAACCTCTGTGTTCAGGGGTGACACCAGTTTTTGGTGCCTAGTGTTTCTGTTTATTACGCTCCTGACTTTCTTACCTCTCAATGTGTTTATGTTTTGTTTTCCCTCCTGTTAGGGATCCCTCCTGGCATCTCTTTCTCAGTCACCTTGAGTCTGGCCTAATCAAAGACTGAGGTTATGAAGTCGATCCTAGATGGCCTTGCAGATACCACCTTCCGAACCATCACCACAGACCTCCTCTACGTGGGCTCAAATGACATTCAGTACGAAGACATCAAGGGAGACATGGCATCCAAATTAGGATACTTCCCACAGAAATTCCCTCTGACTTCCTTCAGGGGTAGCCCCTTCCAAGAAAAGATGACTGCAGGAGACAACTCCCCGTTGGTCCCAGCAGGAGACACAACAAACATTACCGAGTTCTATAACAAGTCTCTCTCGTCATTCAAGGAGAATGAGGACAACATCCAATGTGGGGAGAACTTTATGGACATGGAGTGCTTCATGATTCTGAATCCCAGCCAGCAGCTGGCCATCGCCGTACTGTCTCTCACACTGGGTACCTTCACGGTTCTGGAGAACCTGCTGGTGCTCTGTGTCATCCTGCACTCCCGCAGCCTCCGATGCAGGCCTTCCTACCACTTCATTGGCAGCCTGGCAGTGGCCGACCTCCTGGGAAGTGTCATTTTTGTCTACAGCTTTGTTGACTTCCACGTGTTCCACCGTAAAGACAGCCCCAATGTGTTTCTGTTCAAACTGGGTGGGGTTACAGCCTCCTTTACGGCTTCTGTGGGGAGCCTGTTCCTCACAGCCATCGACAGGTACATATCCATTCATAGGCCCCTGGCCTATAAGAGGATCGTCACCAGACCCAAGGCTGTAGTGGCCTTTTGCTTGATGTGGACTATTGCAATAGTAATTGCTGTGTTGCCTCTCCTGGGCTGGAACTGCAAGAAGCTGCAATCTGTTTGCTCGGACATTTTCCCACTAATTGATGAAACCTACCTGATGTTCTGGATTGGAGTCACCAGTGTGCTGTTGCTGTTCATTGTGTATGCATACATGTACATTCTCTGGAAGGCTCACAGCCACGCGGTCCGGATGATTCAACGTGGAACACAGAAGAGCATCATCATCCATACATCAGAAGATGGCAAGGTGCAGGTGACCCGGCCTGACCAAGCCCGCATGGACATTAGGCTGGCCAAAACCCTGGTTCTGATCCTGGTAGTGTTGATCATCTGCTGGGGCCCTCTGCTTGCAATCATGGTGTATGATGTCTTTGGGAAGATGAACAAGCTTATCAAGACGGTGTTTGCCTTCTGTAGTATGCTCTGCCTGCTGAACTCCACCGTGAACCCCATCATCTATGCTTTGAGGAGCAAGGACCTGAGGCATGCTTTCCGCAGCATGTTCCCTTCATGTGAAGGCACTGCACAGCCTCTAGACAACAGCATGGGGGACTCAGACTGCCTGCACAAGCATGCCAATAACACAGCCAGCATGCACAGGGCCGCCGAAAGCTGCATCAAGAGCACTGTTAAGATCGCCAAGGTGACCATGTCTGTGTCCACAGACACGTCTGCCGAGGCTCTGTGAGCTCGCTGCTTTTGTGGCTGCACAGAAAACGAAATTTTTTTTTTTTAGCTTACAATTTAGAAGTCTGTTGTCTCATCGGTTATATATTTTTATTTTAAGTTTACCATGTTTAGTAAAATAGTGATTGTCGCCGTGCTTACTTAGTTTTCTGACATCTCAATAGTTTAGGTACTTAAACTCCATTCCCCAGGGGTTTACAGTGAGGAAAGCCTGTCGCTTCAGTTACTCGGCAGTCCTTCAAAGTCTCTGAAATAGAAGGGAAAACTTTGGCTTCCAAATCTGAGGCCTAACTATCCATAGAAAACCACCGTGAAATGAGTAATCCCTCTGTAACCACAACTTTCATGAAGCTGTGTCTGTCTATAGTATTAAAAGGATACAGTTTTACAATAAGTATAGTGCTAATTTAGAGATACTTTGTGACATGTTCTCTGTCCTGTTATGTGTCAGTGTTTACTGTGTCGTTTATTTATGTAGCTTAGCAAAACCAGAATTTAGCCCTCGTAAGAGTGATGGTACACAGGGGTGGATGTCTAGCAGAGTGACCCCTGTTTAGATAGTGTTACTGTCCATGATATAATTTTAGAAACTTTAGTATTTCTTCCAATATCCGTATCTAAAGTTAATACTGAAATAAGCATAAAGGTTTATTTTTCTGTTAAAACAAGAAGAATTTGAAGACTGTTCAAAGTGTTGAGCAGATTCATGGACACTAACTGTGTTAGGCCTGCCTTTTCATATGAGGACATTTCCTATCTTCTGGACCACAGCTGTTCAGCTGGGTAGTGGATTATAATCAGAATGGAAAAGAGAAAGCACATTGACTTTTAAGGCTGACACTCTGACTTTCTGCAGTCATTAGCTATAACTGGACCTCTTAAGACAGCATGTGTCAATCTTAGTGTATACTGTGATCACTGTGCAGTTGCTGTTTACTTGACGTGTATTGCATTGTTATGTTCTGGATTTAAGTAGATTCCAGGCCTGGATGGCCAAAAAAACAGTTGTCTTTTCCTTAACTGAGAAGAAATATTGTCTGGCTCAGTACAATTGTAAGTGTGATTGTAAATGTGTGTGTATGTGTATGTGTGTGTGTATTCTATCTTGTAACTGTTACAGCCATGTCCCCACACTAGAAAACTGACCAAGTGTGGACCGTACCACTTGCTGCGCTCTTGCTCACCAATTTAGTGTCTACAATTATGCTCTTCATGAAATCCTGTTTATAAAAATTCTGACTACAACCTTTCAGAAGAATCTTCCCATCTAGGAGATTGGATTAAGTATTCTGATGACATTTAGGTGTTCTGTAAGGCCAGCGTTCAGCAAGAAGTAACCAGTAAGAGGTGCCAAAAAGTAGAGGACTCTCCCAAGGAGAGGAGGGTGTGGGGGATGGTGATCACTTACTATTCATCAAGTCCATGGAAATGGAAATCAGTAAAGGGGGATGGTTCTAAGACCTTTAAAAAAACCACACCCCTACAGTAGCAAGTTTCAGTGGTGCATGTCAGTACTGCAATCTCAGGCTAAGTAGCACCATACCAGTTCCCAGGTCTAGGCCATTCCCTCACAGAGAGTGAATAGGACAGAGGGTATCTATAACAAATGGGCAGTGAAAACCTGGTGACAGCCCAGTACCTGGCTCTGTTTAGATATATTTGGGTTAAGGAAAAGGCAGTGCTTCCACTTGCTGGTATCAAGATGTGCCAAATCATAGAGATGAGGGTGGCTAGCTTCTGATTGACATCTCTGCCACGGTGCTCAAAATTGGGCCCTTTTCTGATAAAGAGAAGTATTGCTTTTAAGAATCCACTTAATCCTGGTAAGTTATACATAGAGTTTCTCCTTGTACAGGTTCTCACCAGTCCCGAGGACTGCATAGCATGAAGCGGAGAGCTAGCATCTGCCTGTGATTTCTAGCATTTGGAGTTCCCAGCCTGATGAAGCAGTGGCCCTTCTTGCAATCAATGTGACCTGAGGGCCAAGCTAGAATATATCTAGATTGCCTGCCGAGTCTCTTGCTTTTCTTCTCTGTGCACAGGATGCTTGAGGATTAGTAACTCCACAGAGAAGGGTATGATAGAATACCACCAGGGGCTAGGAATTGCCAGTCTTGTCCTACATGAACCTGAATATCAATCAACATGTCTCTAGCTACCAGGCAGTACCACCTCTTCTCACAGCTATAAAGACCTGGTAGGAAATTCTAGGTATAGGTATTAAAAAAAAAAATCCAAGATTCACTTTTAGAACTGTATTTGTGTAAATGCCATTTTAGTGATAAGATTTTATAGTGTATTGAACTTTCAAGACCTAACTCATACTTAATAAGCTAAGGGACAATGGGGCTGATAGCACTAAACTTGGTGCTTATTGATACTCTAAGAAATATCTGTGAAATATCATCATGTGTGCGTTAAGCTACCTTCATTTAAAAGGACTTAAAATTAGTTGGATCCCCTTTGGCTTTTCCCATAGCATTTCCTAACCCTGTTGACCAAAACATTCTCCCCAGTGAGTATTAGTCGTTGGAATCACATTCATTAGTGTCATTCATTAACCAGCCCCTTAATTAGATTCATTAATTTAAATGATTTTAATTTGATCATTTATACACTCTGGCATCAGGGTTATCTATTTCCCTCTGACATGTGTCCTGAACATTCATTCCTCAGCCATTACTCACCTTAAAAGGGGGACAATTCCCAAACTGCTTGACTTCATCCAGATAAGGACTCAGTCCTAGACTAATAGTATCCGTTAAACAAAGAGAGCTGTCTCTACCAGGCCCTAGGTTTTCAACTATGTATTAAATATATGTAAAAGTAAATGTGCATCTGGGCAGCTTAGACATATGTCTGTGCCAGATGACTCCAGAGCTGTCTGGTACTTACTGTCAGGTTTAGCTAGTGTCAAATGCCAAGGAATTGTTGCTACCTAAACCCATCTGGGAAATAGGCCCAACTACCAGATGAGAACTAGGTCTCTAGTAACCATTCAGTTCATTAATTTTTGCCATTCCATATCCATAACCAGGACCACTAACATCATGCACAAAATTAGATTCCTCATACTCTTGACTGTATATTTGTATGATATTTTAAAATCTCCTAAATGGCCATTCACAGTTGCTTTGCACTGGCCTTCTGATAAAATGTTAACACATCTATTGTAATATACACAAAACATTCTATTTACTGATTTGGACTGAATGTATGTACATAGGTTTTACAAAAAAGTCAGACGTTGAAGCAGTGGTTTACAGATCAGTGATTTTCAGATAGAGTTTCTTTCAGTTGCTGTGGAATCTTTAAAAAGCACTCTTCGCGTGAACTTACTGAACTCTAGGGGTCCTGGGGATCAGAGTTCCCTAGAGAGGAAACCTTTTCTTGTAATAATATGAACCAAGATACCAGATTATCTTGATTCTCACTTCCAGTGTTTCAAGTGGAAAACATATCTCCTTATTGTCTCTGTAAATGGAACATCCTTACTTTTCCTCTTAAAGAATATTGTGCTGTTAGATGTTTGTTGAACTGGTAGCATCATTGAGACTGCTGTGATGTCTTTGTCAGTAATCTGTATAATATTTTGTATACAAGTACTGGTAAGATTGTTATTAAATGTAGCTCTGGTCATTAAATTACTATAGCAAAGTAGTACTTCTGTAATATTTACAATGTATTAAGCCTACAGTATATTTTATTTCATTGATGTAATTTAATTGTTATTTATTCAAGAGAAAACAGTTCATCATGTCTATTGTCTAAAATTACCTGGAATCAAATAAAAGTTCTAGATTATCATGAAAAACCATAAAAGGCCTTTGATTCTGCCTTGTGTCAATGTCTAATAGTAAGGCATTGGGGGAGGGGTTGAGTAGGTGCATCTCCTATTGTGGCTAGGTGAGGCAGCCCAGTTAGAGGTAAGGAATCCAAAGGCGGGCAGCAGAGTCAGTGACAGCCCCTGCTCCAGTTTTTAGGAGTTCCACATGAAGACCAAGATATGCACATCTATTTATATATTTGTAGGGGGCCCAGGTCTGTCCCATGGGTACTCTTTGATTGGTGGTTCAGTCTCTGTGAGTCCCTATGGGTTCAGGTTAATTGATTCTGTAGGTTTTCTTGTGGTGTCCTTGACCCCTCTGGTTCCTTCAATTCTTCCTCCCTCTCTTCTACAAGATTCCTGAGCTCCACCTAATGTTTGGCTGTGGAGATTTGCATCTGTTTTTATCAGCGGCTGGGTGAAGCCTCTCAGATAACAGTTTTTCATGACTCCTGTCTGCAAGTATAGGCAAATATCATTAATAGTGAGAGGGGTAGGCTCTCTCTGATGGCATGGGTATCAAGCTGGGCCAGTCATTGGTCAGGAAATTTCCTCAATTTCTGCTCCATCTTTATCCCTGCACATCTTGTATGCAGGACAAATAGTGGGCTCAAGGTTTTGTGAGTGGGTTGGTGTCCCCATCCCTCCATTGGAAGTCTTGCCTGGTTATAGGAGGTGGCCATTTCAAATTCCATATTCCCTATTGCTAGGAGTCTTAGCTCAGGTTTCCATCATAGGTTCCTGGGAATTTCCCTTGTCCTAAGTTTCCAGTTTGTCCCACCTGTATGCTTTCTTAAATAATTGTTTAGCTAAGGATTCTAATGATCTTGTAATTTATTAAAGCAAACAGTTGCAATCTATAAGTTAAAGTTAATATACACATTAAAATATAAATGTTAAAGAGGGCATAAATATACCCATATAAATTGATCCATATAAAAGATACATGTCTTTTTCAATAGTTTGGAAAAACTGGGATTTCTATTCAATTAATAAAAAGAAATACTAGAAAAAAAAGTTTGGCTTTTTGAAACAAAAACATGTAATCAATTTTGAAGAAAAGCATTAAGGATTTTGAACTTATGAATTAATGAATATTTAAAACTAGATTATTTTTGTTTTTAATAAGTAACCTAAATTAATTATTCTGCCTCTTTCATAATGCAAAAGCTTAATGTTCTGACAAAAATAAATTATATCTATTCTTAGATATTAAATTTTATGTTAGTACATCAAAGGAAAAGAATACATATTTTAGTACTATTATAGCATATTTTAAAACCTCAAACTGGTTTTCCATCAACATGCATTTCTCCGTATATTGAAATATATGTTTTAAATGCTGTCAGGATAGAGACACCAATGTAGTCCACTAGAATTAATCCATGTTGGGATTCTTTGTGTTATTTTATCTGATTCAACTTCTATATGTCTCATCCCTCTCTTCCTTTCCCTCCTGTCTTCCTCTTCCCCACTCTCTTCATTGTTTTTGAAACAGGCTCTTGCTACACAGTCCAGGTTGGAGTCACACAGCCCTCCTATCTCAGCTTCCAAAGTGCTGGGATTACAGGCACACACAGGCACACAAGTTTATGCCAGGTTTACGATCAGAAGTGACACAGCTATGGAACATTGTATGTAGCATGACAGGTGTTGTGCCATCCCTTCTATATACCAGTCAACTCTGTGATGTGTATGCCCTGTTAGTGCATAGGTAAGAAGAAACACTAGTGAGATCACAGAACTAAGGCTAGAATGGAGGCTTCTCTGATCACAGGGTCCATATCACTTTGTTGATAACAGTGCTTTCATCTATGTATTCATTTTGTACTTAAAGTCTAATATATATGCATTTAGTGAAAATTCTCACATGCTGGCAAAGTTAAAGATGAAGAACACTTGCATATGCTGGACTTGGGACTCTTTTTTTCGTTGCTATAATCAGGTACTCTAAAAGTCTCTGAGAAAAGGAGAGCTTTTATTTGCCTCATAGTTTGGGGGTGTAGTCCATCACTGAGGGGAAGTTATGGTGGCAAGAGCGTGAGACAGTTAGTCAGCCACGTTGCATCCACAGTCAGAAGGCAGAGTTATGAATGCTGGGCTTCAGCTTGCCTCCTTCTTATTCAGTCTATACCAAAGACTGTGGAATGGTGCTGGACACATTAAGGTTAGCTCTTCTCACACCAATAAACTCAGTTTAGAAATTTCCACACATAAATGTCCAGAGGTTTGTTTTCACCCTGACTCTAAATCCTGTCAAGTTCACAGTCAACAATCAGCGTTCTGCTTCTGTATTTTCAGCATATTTGTAGGCTTCTAGAGGTCCAATAGTGTGTATAGATAGTAGTAAGTAGAATTTCTCTCGTGGAGACCTATGGCTTTGGGCTCTAGATTTTGGATTGCTCCACCATACCAACTTGCAAAGGAATAGGAGAAACAGAGTGGCAAATGACTCTAATCAATTATTGTTTTCTTTCCTTCATTTTTCAAACAATTAATAACTTTATTATATCTATTCTGGTGGTCAAATAAAGTTGTGCTCTTCATTGCTTAGCTAACAGGAACATGACTTACCTTGGTTAGGTGATGGTAGCTGAGAAGAAGCCTGATCTCACCTGTGCTAGCTACGTTTCCAGCCTTTGCTTGCTTACTACAGGAACAATCAGCTTCGATTCACTTAAAGAAACAAACCTACCGTCCATCTTTTGACCTGCACACAAGGCATCTAGAAAACATTCTATACTAGTCAGTGAAAGATAACTTGTGAGAACTGTGATAACCAACATAAGCAGTTTGTACCTGGCACTGATAATAGTGGTTAGAATTGAGCTCATTAATATAAGAGGCATTATCTCATTTAATCCTCTCACTCACCCTGTGAAATATTATTACTCCTATTTGACAGACAGTCACCTGCCTAAGGTCAATCAACTAGTAAGTGGCATAGCTTGAACGTGCTTATGGCTTACCAGATTACTGGGTAAAGGTCCAGTAAGTTTACAGCAAATGGACGATGCATTTATCATATTTATTTCAAGCACTGTTTATTATCTACCTTGCTAGATCATCAAATTACTAAGTAACATCTAGGAAAAAGGTGAACCATAAGACCACCACTATGCAGCACAACCAATAATATAATGCAGAGGGTGACCGGAAGTAGGAGGGAGGGACCCTGGAGCAGCGTACTGACTTAAGAGCAGACAAGAAGTAGCCTTGAAAGAGGAACGTGTATACGAGCATGCTGGGAAAATGGCAGGGCAAGAAATAATGGTAGGATGGGGACAACAGCAAGAGATGAAAGCTAGTATAAAATGTCCAGCGAATGGAGCCCGTGCTAGAAGCATTCATTCTTCTTGGTGAAGCTCGCTGCAGTTTACAAAGCCTCAGCAGACCCGCAGTAACAGTCCACAGTGCCAGAGCCTACCCAGCCTTTTGGTAATCATGCTGGTTCAAAGGCACTCTTACAAAATACCACATACACATAAAGAAGTTTCCCTTCCTGCAAGGCAAAGCAGAGAACTCAGTGGTGGAAGTGAGGTCTCCTTCTTTGTATTTCTTGTTAGCTAGCCACTTATTTTTCCCTTTTGAGAACATTACCGTCACTGCAAAGGAGGACATTATTCACTTGGAACAGAAGGACATCAATTAGCTCCCCAAACAGTATAGTCACCAGTCCCAAAGTGTTCTTGGTCATCATTCACCTGGGCTGGGGCAACCCTTTGGTCTCAGAATGACAGGGACCTTATTGAGCTCCAGCCCCTGGGGCCTCCAATCCTCTGCCCTTCTGACCTCCTTGTAAATAAGATTATTGTTGTTGCTTCTGTCTCGATTGCCTGTGGGAAATCCTTCAGGAAACAAATAGATAAGGAGTAAGGGAGAGAATCTTTTTGAACTGTCCAAAGCAACCCTATACCTGACCCAAGCATAAAATGATTTCATAACATACAGCTTTCAGATGTGAGTCCGGCTTGTTTTCAAATTAATCACCTATCTCATATTTTTAATAAAGTTTTCACCCTTCATGGATTCATGCATTCACAAGAATTTCTTTATGAAAATCTTGTGTCATTTTAAGAGATGAGAAGTTTATCTTTTTAGTGTTACAGATTTTATTATTTAAATTTATAAATCTGACTCTTTTTTTTCTGGCTTGTGCCTTATTCGAAATCATTGATTATTCCAGACAGACACAGCCGCCTCAGCCACACAATCTCACCTCTGATTGCTTGATTTATTAAATCTCAGCCGATTTAACATGAGTGACTATGAGCTACTGTCACCTGGCCACTGAATAAGATCTTTTCAGGTGTACAGGTTCCTACCCTGAGGAGGAACTGGAACAAGAATACTCTACAAGAAACACCTCTCTTCTTTCTTCCTTTCTTTCTACACCTCTCTTCTTTCTTCCTCCCGCCCTCCCTTCCCCCCCCTCTCTTTCTCTCTCTCTCTCTCTCTCCCCAATGGGACAATCTCTGTATTTTATAGGTATTTCTGTAAATACCGGATGTAAATATTTGGAGTAGGTCTCATTTAACTGCAGAATCCTACCATCTACCTAGCATAACCTTCTGAGATGAGAGTAATCGTGATATCTGTCTATTGCAGCAAATAGTGTTCAACACAGATCACAGCTAAGTTGTTGTCCCTGAAGATGGGACACAGGAGAATTTTCTTCTCCCAGAATACCAGTCTTCCCAACCATTACTATGTCCTGTGGAAGGGAAAATGGTGTTCAGTGTGGAGGAAGGGTGACCGCATATTTTCCCAAAGCACAAGTACTCTTGGTTCAAATTACATTATGCCTAAGCAGTGGGAAATAGGAAAAGAAATATCAATTCTTAAAAACAGATTATGAAAGTAAATTTTTTAACTGTTGCCTCAGGAGAAAGTGAAACAGGAAGCTTTGTGACTATACTGTGTGTTTCCGAGCAGAGCTATCTATGAGGCTATGGCCACGACTGTGACCAACTTTCATAGT